AATGAATATTTTTTCATGAAATTTTGGTCACACCTGTTTAGAGGCACTCTGAATCCAGTGGCGTAGTGATTTTTTCAATAAAAAAATCGCTAATAAAAAATCCCGATTTTCGACTAAGAAAAAATATCGTAGTATGCCCTGAAACTTTAATAAACATTTCAAATTTGGTCCCAAGGTAGACCTTTTAGTACTTGACATTTCAAAACATAATAATAAAATGGCTTCACAACTTCAAATTTTAGGGGGGTGTTTCCATTAAAAATGGGTCACACTGTACATTCAGTGAATAATCATATGCTGTAAATTATATTTCAGCTCCAGTTATCGGAAGTGATCATGAGGGCGAGACAATACATGACTGAAATAGTCGGAGGTGAGGGTAATGTCCTCTCTCATCATCTCAAACACGAAGATCTGGAGGCGAAATTCGAGAAAATTCAGGACAAAGAGTCGCTCAGAAAGTTCCTCAAGCAAGTTACCTATGACAAACAGGGGTGAGTGGATTTTTTTTTAGTTAATCTCTTTCGAATAAACACAGCAAAACATCTTTGAAATCTCACAAATAAGAACTCCCTTCTTGTATAGTTATTATTGAAATTATGGGAAGATTCAATTGCAACCCCTAGCATAGAATAAATTCAAACACGTCTCTCACACACCAGAACGTTAACGTTTTATTTTATGTTTATCAAAAATTATTTGAACTATTTCCAGATGAACAATTTGAAAACAAATATCACTGAGCCAAATATTCTCTGATTTTTGACCACAACTGAAGTTTGGTAATGTTCCAAGAGCAATGAATAACAAGTTCGTAGCATTTTTCTGAAACGAACAAACTGTGGATGTTTTTCTCATTTTCTGCATTTTGCTATTTTTTAAGTTTCGTCAATTCCAAGAATTGAATTTTTTATGTCTTGCTCTTCTCAATTGTTTGTAATATTTTTTTTTTCAAATAGTATCCAAAATAATCTCAACTAACAAACGTATGTCAATGAATTCTAGAATGATTGACCTGTTTAGTACTGCTGAATTCTTTCTTGCACCGAAAAAGCATACTAATGCCGTGAATCCCAAAAACTGTAATAAACTTACAAAACTTCACTGCCGGTCATAAAATTAGGGTCGGATCATGAGTTGAAGTTATGTTGGAAATTTATGTTATTATATACCATGCAAATGTAATTGAAATGTCAATTGTCCTTTCTGTCAACGGGGAATGTTCCTCAATTTGGGTTATTACAGCAAATGCAAGTTTGAACAAAGTAAAGTTGAGTTCAATTTATGAGTTTTTCAAGTTCACTTCGAGAAGTATTCAAATTGATGTTTCAAATGTTGGGTCTTAAATTTTAAAGGGATTTATTTCTAATTCACATATTGGCAACAGCGCCCAGAATGCTAGATCGGAGTTCAGGTTAGTAATATGCTAGAAGAAGAAGAATCATGTCAATAGTGTCAAATTGAGGCAAAATATAAATTATAGTTCAATACCACCTCCACAAGCCACATAAACAACAGTTGTTTTGTTATTTATTTATATAGAGGAAGATAGGTTAGTTGCACAAAATGTCATATGTCACAGAATGTCTCGGAACTCGGAACATAAGTAAACAGAACAGCACGCCTCTGAAATATGTCATCTTTGTTTGTCTCATACAGGTAAAAGATTCATTGTCCTTTATTAGCTATAACCGATGTTGCCAAATGGTGAAATAGAAACGATTCCCTTTAAATGTTGAATGCATTATTTCATTCCTCTTTTTTAAGTATTCAAATAATTCTTTAAAGAAAAAGGTTGAAATGGTGAGTTTAAATTGCGTTGTTTTAGAGCTCTTTTATGAAAACTACTTGATTTTCGTCAGGAGGAACATTCTCCATTGCCCTTTGTTTGTGTACTGATGTCAATGTTGGTGTATTGAAACGAACATAAATTCTGTTGTTGCGGCAAGAATTGTAGCGGCTTTGGAAAATGGCCGCGGTCAGCGCCAAACTGTGTCTCGAGTGACCAATGAGTATGGCGGCGGTACCACGAAACTGGTTTGCTAACTCGTAGACCTGGACTATTACAGATATGGATGACCGCTTTCTCGTATATAGTGCTTTGAAAAACCAAATCATTATAGCAGTTTTCTTTCGAAGTCATCTGCAAGAAGACAGAAATGTAAACATAAGTGAGTGGGACAGTGAGGAGGCGACTCCATGCTGCTGGATTATCTTCTCTAACTAGAGATACTGGACCGCCACTTTCCCGTGAACACCGGACTGTAAGATTGAATTTGTCATGAGAACGCCTGGCTTGGAAAGTCGCGGATTGGAGGCGTCTATTGTTTTCCGATGAATCGCCATTCTGCCTTGCGGGCTCAGATAGACGTGTACAAATTTGGAGACATCCAAGCGAGAGATATGATTAAGCGTGTATTGCCGAGCGACTTCCATTTGGTGGCGGATTATTTATGGCATGGGGAGGCATTTCGTTTGACGCTCGCACGGAGTTAGTCTTCACCGAGAATGGGACATTGAATGCGCATAGGTAGCTAATGGAGGTTCTACAAGACCGTACATGCCTTTTCTTTGAGACGACGCAACATTTATGCATGATAATGCACAGCCCCGCACTGCGCGGATCGTTATTCAGTATCTTGACAAGGTTCAACTCATGCGGTTTGTTTGACCTGCGCAAAGTCCGGATTTGAATCCCATTGAACATGTTTTGGGATGAGGTTGTGAAACGTTCACGGAAGCATGTGCCGGCTCCCACATGCCGCACTGTAGGCAGTACTTCTTTCATATAGAGATTTTTATGTATCGGATATAAAAAATCATTCCTAAATATTGTTCCATACGTATGAATAGTACTTACAGTTAATGATTAATTCACTTAATATTACTTTTTTTATATATGTTGCTATGTGATGTTCTGTAGCACCAATATTTTATTCTACCTAGCAGTTAAGTTTTATTTCAAATGATCAATAATAATTGTATATTATCTTTTAATTTTGTACCCAGTACAGCGTGCATCTGCACTCCTTTTGACCTGTCATAAATGTATTTATTGTATGCATAACATGATTAAATAAATTATGTCTGTCTCTCTGTATATGTGTTTTATGATGCTTTTCATAGGATCTCGGTTGATTTACTGAAAATTTTAATGACTCAAAAATTTATATCATTGATAATGTTAATAATTTGTTCATTTTAAAGATTCCTCTACATGATTCTTTGACCTTCATACCAAAAAGTATTCTGATTACCCTTTTTTGGCAGAAAAATACTCTGTTCAGTTCATGACTGGAGCCCCAAATGATAATACCAAACCCTATTGCTGAGTAAAAATTAGCATAGTAGGCAGTCATCAGAACATCACTGTCAACGTTTTTTTGAGAATTCTCATGAAAAACAAGTCTTGATAACTCCATCTGAGATTATACTGAGAATATACAACTTATGAACATCCGAAAAACAACTTTACATATATGCGTGTATATGCGTGCTTGCGTGTTTTTGAGAGTTACCTTCGAAATATCGAATATGTTTTCTCTGCCAATTCAATTGATTGATGATAAAAAACAGTAGATTCATTCAGTGATGTTTACTGTGTACATGCACGTTCAATTAGCAAGTAACAACTGACAATCACAAAGTTACAATTATTCATTACGTTGAACTTCACACTTTCCAGTGGTATTTACATGGAAAAATTAACCGTTATCGAGTACCAAGTGAAAGTGAGCCAAATTTTAACTTTCATACTTGTTAGTGTGCATCTTCGATTGACCCATTTTAGAACCCAGACATAAGAAATGAGGGATAATCTAACCTTGAAATTTTCAGTGATTTCACGGATTCCAGAAATTCTTTGGATGGTCTTTGATGAAATACACAGTATACACTTACAATAGTCGATTTTACAGATTTTCTTTTTTCCAAAGAAATCTGAAGAATCAAATGCTTGCCATCTATTGCTATTTGTTTCTTGCTAATTGATAATTCATATCCCTACCTGCTAATTAAGTGTGAATAAATTAATTATGAATTGTTATTCATTTCCGGATAACCCTTCTTTGAATCAACGCTTTTAATGGCGCTTCCACCAATGAATATCCATATCTTCCAGATCTGACCTCTCAGTCTCATTCGCTTGTTTTATTTCTACAGTGTTCTACATTTGTTCCCTTGGTCCGGTATCATCGATGATAACCAAGAACTTAGTACTACCTTCAGAGTGCCCGACTTGAAATCAGGACGCATGATTAGATTGATTACCCAGCTTTCTCCAAAGGAAGAAGAAATGTTCAGGAACATGATAAGGAGAATGAACACCATTGTGAAAGTGAGTATTTTATTATGGTTTTATAATTTTTTCTAATGTGTTCCAGTTATCTTATCCCGTGGCATCACGGGGAGTATGCAAAAAAATCCAATAGATGTCGGTAGTGATCCATCATCTCAAACCGTTTGCTTCAGCTACATACCGAATCACTCTCTTTTCATTGTCGTACTTATCTTTCTTTAAAGGAAAAGTTATTAACCTGTGTACCAGAAATTGCAGTGCCGCCATTTTGTGTTGTGAACAATGATTCGAGTCATTGGGAATGTATCTGAAAGTGCCCGTGTTTTTCCTGTAAATGTCAAATTCTATTTCGTTCTCGTTCCTTATGACCAATACATCTAAAAACGGCGCAACTTTCGTTCTTTTTCTACTTCATATGTGAATTTTATACTCTTACACCTGTTGTTTAGTGCTGAAAGGACATTCTCGATTCTGGTTATCCTTGTATCCACTACAGCGAATATGTCATCAACATACCTGATCCAAACCCTAGGGAAGTAACTGAGTTATTTCCCAGCTTCCGTCTCAAACCTACCCATTGATATCTATCTATCTCCATTGATAGCGAACCTATCCATTGATAGGTTCGCTATCAATGGAGACAATGGGTTACCCATAGCCGTTCCTTCACGCTGTTCATAATATGAGCCATTATATTGAAAACAATTTCGATCCATGCAAAGCTTGGTGAGTTGAATGTATTCTTCAACAGCTTCATTTGCTAAGTTGTTCGATTTCAGAAGATCCCTCAAACACTCTAGAGCTTGTGATATTGGGACGCCTGGAAAAAAGAAACTCACATCGAACGATACCAATAATTCGCCTTCTCCTAATTTAATATCTCTTATTTTCTCTTTGAATTCTTGTGATTAACACTCGCATCGGTTGGGCCGATCGGGAGATTTCCAAATTATTTTGTCAACCATTTAGCGATATTATACGAAGGCGAATTAATTGCTGAGACTATTGGTCGCATCAATTTTCCAGATTTGTGTATTTTTGGTAAACAATATATCTTTGGTACTGTGGGATTTGAAAGTTGTAGCCTCTTGTTTATGATTAAGCATGTGCATGACACCAGGCTACTCGATGCATGTGAGAGTCTAGAAATAGCAAAATGTAAAAACAGCATGAATGGCGATAAGAGACCCATCCCGTTTAGCCCGCTTTTTAATCTTCTGTTAGGAAGAGAATAATCACTAAGAACTTGCAGGTAGTTAATTACCGAGAAATTCCATATTGGACTTCAGGTAACAAATTTTAGTATATAAGTATTAACCAGACTAGGCTAAGTATCAATTTTCTTCTCCTGAGGATGCTAACTTTGTTGGCGAAACGCGCGTCGAGTTCAAAAATATCAGTTTGGTGTCAGGGCAATTGATCTCGAAAAAAGTTATTCAACTTTAACAGCAAAGGTTCCAATCTCATCGTTATTCAAGTTAAGAATGTCCATTTTGTATGCAGAGTACCTTTTAAGCATATCAATATCCACATTATATGAAGGGCACCAAATTGTGCAGTTGTATTCGATTATTGATCCAACAATTGAGCAATATATGATTTTTTAAGGAAGAGATATATAATTGCTCTGCAGATCTAAGAGTGAAACCTAACATTTTTAGTGCTCTAGAAGTAACATTTGCAATCTGGGGTTTGAATGACATTTTTGGGACAAGAGTGATTCCTACATCTACCATTGTATTTATTGTTTCCAGTTCCGATTGCATGATTTTATATGCAATAAGTTTATATCACACCATCGTATAAAGTTAGATAAGTCGAACTGTAATAATTCAATATCAGATGAGTCCTGAATAACTTTGTACAGCTTCAGAGCATCAGCAAACGAAAGAAATTCACTATAGAGAATAACATCATTCAAGTAATTTACAAATAGGTTGAAAATTAATGGTCCTAAATGTGATACCTGCGGTACACCAGATGGAACCAGATGCGGTACACCAGATGGAAACATTTCAGCATGTTTTCCTAAGTAGAATCAACCTGGTGTCTATTTTTGAAGGCATTCATTATGAAGTTTTGATAAATGAGTAGATGTGTACTGGTAGATCTACGACAGTTGAATCCATGTTGCTGATTTATGATTATATAATAATAATAATAAAAAATCGGCTTTTATTTTTCTCTATTTTGTACAGTCTGTATGATTAGAAGTATGATTTTTCTGTATGCAACATGTCTGATGTCATTAATTATGAAGTTTTGATAAATGAGTAGATGTGTACTGGTAGATCTACGACAGTTGAATCCATGTTGCTGATTTATGATTATATAATAATAATAAATCGGCTTTTATTTTTCTCAATTTCGTACAGTCTGTATGATTTAGAAGTATGATTGTTTTTTTCTGTATGCAACATGTCGAATGTCATTCGTATGATCTTGAAAGCGAATAAAAAATATAATTTTCATTATCATCCATTCCAGGCCGCACAAGATATGGACGTCCGCATCATGGTAGACGCCGAACAGACATATTTCCAACCAGCCATTACACGAATCACTCTCGAATTCATGAGGAAATATAACAAGGATAAGGCCATCGTTTTCAATACTTATCAGTGTTATCTGAGGAACGCCTTGTCTGAAGTTGCTACCGATTTGGAACAGGCGAAACGACAGAACTTCTATTTTGGTGCTAAACTTGTTCGAGGAGCATATCTTGAGCAGGTAAATCTTTTTATTTGATATTTTACAGGAAAATAGACAAAGTATTTGGTGTATGAGATCCGCGCAAACCTGAAATGAATTGATGATCATCGCTCAAAACGATCTTGCAACAATGTGGATTGTTCAAAAAATAAGTTGACTTCAAATTTCGCGGGCTACTAATCCGGTCAATCTAGACATTGGAAGATACATACATCTACAACAAGCTACAAACGCGTGTAATTGTTCAAAACATAGTTAAAAATGATATTTTAAAATTCCGAATGATTGCCATGCCTGGAAAAAAAATTATTCGAGGTCAAATGTCAAAAATCTGGAAAAAAAATTGTTTCTTCGCGATTTTCAGGAAAACGGTAAATTTTATCATAAAATAACCTCGGATAAAAATTGTAGATCATAAAATTCTCTACAAAAATTGTATCAATACTTTTTTTTCTTAGAGCCACCGTTTCTGAGATACGACGAGTCAAAAAGTTGTAAATTTTTTATGATCTACAATTTTCATATCAAGTTATTTTATGGTAAAACTTACCGTTTTCCTGAAAATTGCGAAAAATCAATTTTTTTCGAGATTTTTGACCTTTGACCTCGGATAAATTTTTTTCCAGGCATCGCAATAATTCGGAATTTTAAAATCTCATTTTTAATTATGTTTTGAACAATTACACGCATTTGCAGCTTGTTGTAAATTTATATACCTTCACTCTTATTTTTTAGTCTAATTTGACCGGACTATACATACATTCGGTTTAGCGATTTTTTTAAATGTTGTTATGTTGGTCTCGAAAATATTTTCACAGCTTCAGCTGTTTAGCGTGTTTAGTTTCTTGGTGAGAGGCATCAAAGTTGGATGGGTTTTGCATGTTCGGCGATTTTTTATATCATAAAAACTAGATCGGAGAATTTACATCAAATTCTGTGTAAAAAATGTAATTGTACGTAGGTCACTGTAGGTTTTCCATTTCATGTAACTGAGTGAATCCTGATGTGCAACAAACGGTTATTATTATTGAAGACTCAGAACTTTCAATTGTAATGAAAACTGAAAGAAAAAGGAATTTTTTTGAGTGGATTACACTATAATTAAATGAAAATATAGACCATTCATAACAGTACAAAACTCGTCTCTGTCGAACTTCATTGATCTTTGAATGATATTTGTCCTTAGGAAAGAGCGCGAGCTGCTGCAATGGGCTATCCTGACCCAACGAACCCTAGTTTCGAAGCAACTTCAGAAATGTACCACAATACTCTGACCGAATGCCTGAGGAGAATCAAAGCCTTCAAAGAAAAGGGGGAGGATAAAAAAATTGCCATCATGGTAGCCTCTCACAATGAAGACACGGTCCGATTTGCCATTGAGAAGATGAAAGAGTTTGGAATCGAACCAAGCGATAAAGTGATCTGTTTTGGACAGTTGTTAGCCATGTGTGATTATATCACCTTCCCGTTAGGTAGGAATTTCATGTTTTTATGTTATTAAGTTAGCGACTAGCTAGGTAAAGTGCTGTACGTGCGGTGGTGAATACTGTGGGTGGTGTCGCTAGCAGGTTTTTAATACTCGATTCTTTACTTCGGCATTTTTTAAGACAAAATTATGTCGGAGGCACAAAAGAAGAAACGGCAGTATAGCGTGGAATATATGAAATGTGAATTTATTGAAAATCCCACAAATCCATCTTCGCTTATGTGCCTTCTTTGTCAAAGAACAGCTCTTCAAATGACGGATTATTCAATCAGCTTTGTGTTGCTAATGATGAAGATTTCAACCGATTGCTATTTCACACAGAAGTGCATTGGTTATCAAAAAGTAACTGTCTGACTCGATTTTACAATCTATTTGACTATGTAATAGAGTTCTTGGAAAACAAAGACAAAGAATTGCACGACAACCTCATCACTTCAAAGAATGATATTGCGTACTTGACAGACCTGTATAAATTATTTAACGATGCCAATCTCCAACTTCAAGGTGACAACTTGAATTTGATTGAAACAAAAAAGTCATTGCTGCTTTTGTAGCCAAATTGCTCTTATACAAGAATAATATTGGCAGACGTGAGTTCCGCAATTTCCCTAATTTGTCAGCAGTATCTTTCAACAACGACGACTTGCTTGTTTACTGCCGTCATTTGGAGAACCTACACAGTGATTTCGCAGAACGATTCCAGGACATTTTAAAATTGAAAATACTGGACTGGGTGTTGGATCCTTTTTCAAATGTCAATACAGCAAGATCACCACAGCTTGAAGAAAAACTCATAGAACTGATAATGAACGAGTAAATAAAAATTAAAAATAGATACCAAGAATTTTGGCTACAAAAGCCAATCCCGCAATTGTACCCTGCATTGTGGTCCATCGTTCAACTATTTTTGATAGCATTCCCATCACCGTATTTGTGTGACCTTGGATTTAGTGCTGTGGCAACGTTAAATCTGTTAAAATCTGTTTTTCCGTTAACCAACTGTCGCACCCCTACGAACGACAACCTTCAGAAGTCGAAACTTGTGCGAGCTAAGGATTAACGAGGTCTTACCTTTCAACGTGTGATTTCTAACACGGGTTGAACGATAGCAAGTGAAGATCGATCGTTCAGACTAGGGCTTGAACCACCGACCAACACGGCAGTCAATTCGAGTGAGTGAACAAATCACCCACGCCGAACCGCTTGGCTACCGACCGACCGTTGCTGACGGTCGGTCGGTATTACAAAATGGTGTTTCACATTACCCTCATCAGAAAGTCTTATTTTCACATGACACACATAGTTTAATTATTAAAATAATGACTGCAATTGTGATTCTTAAGATGTAATAAAGTAAAAAAAATTGGGGGGCGCTAGAAAATAATTAATTCTCGAACTGGGGGTTCGACAAAATAAGTTTGAGAACCTCTGCGTTAAACGAATTATCTCTTCGTTGATAGAGAATTCGGCAGAATTCCTTCAAAACGGCGCGAAGCCTAGAATAATCGCGGCTGCACGCCATCTTGGCTACGTCACAATTGATTTATGGCTACCAGCGGCGACCAGTGTTATTTTTTTTAGGGCATGCTTCAAAACAATATAAATTTCTTTCGTTTTCAAGGTCAATCCGGTTATTCTGCATACAAATACATCCCTTATGGACCTGTGAATGAAGTTCTCCCCTACCTGTCCAGGCGAGCTCATGAAAACAAAGGGGTACTGAAGAAAATCAAGAAGGAAAAAAGTTTACTCTCCAAAGAAATTTTGAGGCGTTTGGTAACTGGTCAGATTTGGTATACTCCTAAAGGGAAATATGTTCCAGTGTAAAAAGTAAGTTCTTGCTATGCTATGTGTTTCAGACCTTAATAACAAGTTATTAGAAAGCGTCCCCTCTTTATCTTTCAAACAAAACGAAATATCAAGGTCATACAACATAGTGTTGCATCATTCATCGCCGAGATGGCGCTACCACCTTTTTTTAGTAAAGGGTGTCTTGTTATAACTCGTTTGATGAGTATTTCAATTCTCTATCCAACATTAAGTTTTTGATGAAATAGTATCGTTGGCAGATAAGTTGAGCAGTGGCCCCGATGCCATTCCTGGCTACTTTCCAAAAAATTGTGTCTGTTCATTAACATATCCAATATATCTCCTTTTCAAATGTTCTTTAGATACAGGAATCGTCCATGACCTATGGAAACATAGCTAGCTACGTTCGTCCAATTTTCAAATCAGGAAATAAACAAGACAAAAAACTACCATGGTATATGTAACCATACCTACCTACCTAAACTTCTGGATAGCTTGATAACTGATCAGTTGAATTTCAATGTGAAGAACTTCTTCTATGAAAAAGTCTACAGTTACCCACCTATTGGTGTCTGAACAGAATATTAAAGAGATTAATCATGATTATATAATTCTTTTTAATACTCTTAACCTAGACTTGCACAAATTCATTATGGAATATTTCTGGGGTAATTTCGTTAGAAACACCTCTTATTCTAATCATAAGCTCTGGAGTAGACGGCGGTTGTGTAACGTAAAATCTAGATTTCATCAATCTTTACAAAAAATCTACGGGTGTCAAATCAGATAATGCAGCGGGTCATTCTAAGATACCAAGATTACCTATACATATACATTGTTTTGGATAATTGTTCCAGACCAGCTCGTCATAATAAAGAGGTACCTCATATTGCTGAAACTTGATATTAATTGAAACTCATGTTTTTGAGGAAATACGTGATATCTGAAGTGTACAATACATACTAGATTTGTAAGTGGTGGTCCGCGGAACCCTGGGATTCCGTAGAAGGGTCACGGTGTTTTGCGCGCTCTGTCGGAGATCTGAATACCATGCGATTGTTGAAAAAGCTGTCTTTGTTCTTTTATTTGTGACGACTTAACGATGCGAGACTGAATTTTCAGCTTAAGCCTTCACAAAAAATGAATACAGAAACAGACTTGATGCAGCCTCGGATCTTCGCATCCAGCTGTCTGACATAAAGCCGGATTTTAGTACTATTATCAGAAAATACCTTACCTTATTTGCAGGCGACACCACCATTTTATGGCATAGTAAAACTGTTGAAGATCTGAATAATAAGATAATCAGAGACATAAATGTAATCAAGTCTTGGTGTGATTCGAATCTTCTCTCTTTCAATATAAAAAAAACAAATATAGTAACTTTCACATGTACTCTAGAAGATATTCCTGTAGAAAATGAGAAGATTGAAAATAAAGATTCCACAAAATGTTTGGGCCTTTATATTGACAATTGAAGAATGAAATCTCCTCAGGGTGCTGTGCAATGAGAATTATTTCAAGGCAACTTGGTACTACCACGGCTATGAACGCATATTATGCATTAATTGAATCTCAACTGAGATATGCCATTCCTTTCTGGGGGGTATGTAACTCTAGTCTGCTAGATTCAGTACTTGAACTGCAAAAGACAGCCATTAGATTTGTGTTTAAACTATGACCGCGCAATTCATGTAGGCAAAACAAGAGTTTTTTCGACAATAAAGTATATTTTGATATAATTTGATATGAACCAGCTGGGTTTTCGACAAAAATGTATGCTCAAATACGGTTCCTAGGCCGAATAAAATTGGGAACTCATGTTGAATATTTTTTTTTGTAATGATATTAATAATTTGCCTGCATATCCTTGAAACTAATAAAGCTGCTAATTACTCTGAAAAGAGTAATCTAATCACTGTTCTTGCATCTTTTTAATATATCTACTTAACTGCGCAGTTGCTTTATGTTCTGTTCTGACTAGTCTGATAAAGTTTTATATCTGTATGTACTACATGTATGAAATTTTTAATGATGATTAAATTTCTATTCTATTCTATTTCCAGTAATGAAAATATATTGGAAAAAAAAGTTGGTAGCGTCCTCTCGGCGACGAGTGATGGAACTTCATTGTGACAAAAATTATATCTTTTTGGATGATTTTTACGACCCAGATATCTTGTTCGGTTCTAAAGTTAAGAGAGTGGGGCAGCAATTCACGTCCATATTACGTGGACTGTTCAAAAAATGAGATGAATGTTCAAATTTTGCTCAAGGACGTACCAAAAAGTTCGTACCAAAAAAGACGTACCAAAAAAACTGTTTCGGGTGTTGAGAAAAAGCTGGTACAATTGTATTATATCTGACGGGAACTACTACTTTGAAGGGGACGAAATGAAAATTAATATGAATAGTATGAATATTTTTTTGATGAAAAATGAAAATTCATCTAATTTTTTGAACATACAGCTCATTTTTTGTCAATATTCTTGTGCAATTAATTTTTTTACAGGGTTCAACTTCAACTCCGAAAATCCTTGAATTGATGCTCTTTTCCCTTTTTAGCTGGCAACATCCCCATCTGTAGATAAGTAGTAAAAAAGACGATTCCACCTGTCTGTCTACTATTTTTTTAAGTAACGTCTGCGTGAATGGTTCTCAGATGAAAGGGATACGACACGGCTGTCACTTCACACATGGCCTACTCCAGAATACTCGCTTCTTTTCTCACGAAGAATTTCATATTATAGTTTTAATTTTAAATCATTAGAAAGAAATCTGTTAGGTCAATTAAGAAACGGTTGTTGATTAAAGGCTGACGGATATAGACAATGTGAGAATTTGTAACATGTTGGTGAAGCCATCCTTTCTCGAAGTATTGTTAAGTAGTATTATTTTATCTCATTATACAACCTATTTATTTTACCTTCGCCATCGAAATATGACAAGAACAATGCAGTTCACGCAGATACGAGAAACTTAGCAAAGTATTTGAAATAGTTCAATAAATTCTGTACAGTTGTAGTTGTGAGTGAATGTTTATTCCGATGTGTTTTGAAAAATGTTTATGACTTTCCTACGGTTTTTCATGGAATCTCTTTGACAAAACGGAAATTCACATCGACAGTTTGGAAGTGACCGCCACAAATATCTAGACAAATTCCGGAAAAATATAGCAAGATCATCAAATTGATAGTTCCAATGAAGGATATTGTGGCGGTTCATTTCCAAATTCGCGATGAATATGAATTCGAGGCGGCGAGCCCAAAAACTGTGGGTCTGCAATGTAGCGATAACTAGAAGCGTACGAAAGTCCCATTTCGTTTATCTTCAATTCATTTTGAAGGATCATTTGAAATGGTGTCAGAATTCTGATGATTTTGTTTCGATTGTTAAATATTTCTTGAAAATTCTGATCAACAAAATATTTAGAGACGTGAAACGAACAGAAACATTGACTGAATTCCTGATATACTTCAATAGCCTGTGATTTTTGAGGTTTCTGTGGAAAGAACGTGTTATGAAAAAATTTACCGCTTAGTATTTTTTTAAAATGTTTCTTTTTGGTGTGTGTGAAAAATAAATTCGGTTAAAATATGAGTTATGTTTTTAATTTGGGAAGTTAGAAGTTGGAGTCGCTAGTCAAAAAATAATTGAGATTTACTGTATAAATGGTTGTGTCTTTGATATATATTCCAAAATTTATGATGTTTCGACAATAACTGCAGAAGTTGAATAAATATTATCAATAAAAAGTTTTGGTTTGATATCTGTGAAAAACACTGAAAGTGGGCAATAATTTGTCTTCTGTCACATAATTTTGATTACACCAAAAATCCTATTGTAAAAAATTTTCTGCTGGCGATAATCCCATAATAACTAATCATGTACATATACTCAAATAAATATAGTTTGAAAAACTAAAGAAGAACATCGAACTAAAAAGTTGAAAATATAATTAAATAATTTTATTTTCAACTTTTT